AGCGGCCGTGGGCGGACTTGGCCAAAGTCTGCGAGCAGCAGGCGCGGGGGCCCCCAGGCCGCGCAGCCCCGCGGCGCCGCCAGCAGCAGGTTCTCCGGGCGCAGCTCCGCTAGAGCGGCGCCCCGGGCCTCCAGGCACTCCAGGGCCGCGCTCAGCTGCAGCAGCAGCAGGGCCAGGGCCCAGGCGAAGTCCGCGGGTCTCCGCGCACCCGCCTCCGCCAGCCACTGAGCCACTGTGCACTCTGGCTCCTCCGCTGTTAGGGCCACGGGGCCACTCCAGGGCGCCTCCGGCAGCTCACTCTTGGGCACCAGGCCGCACAGCCCCTGGACGTTGAAGTGCGCGGGGAGTGAGGCCTGAAGCTCCAGGCCCCACGGGTGAGGCTCCTTGGCTCCGGGCTTCGGCACCTGTGGGGCAGAGGGGCCCTCAGGGCTTGTCCAGGAAGCCCCCCAAACCAGCCCAGCATGCCCTAGCCACTCTATCTGCCCGGAAGCCTTTCGGCCCTACCTACTGTCTGGCTGTGGGGGGAGGCAGCCTTCAGAAGCGGGGATTGGGCCCCGGATAACACATTCCATTTAATTGATGAGGGTCCTCCAAAATGGTGATGTGTCTGATGCTTGGTGGTACACCTTACTCAACAGGATTTTTTTTTTTTCCCCCTTAGCAGGACGTAAAACAGAAGCATCTGATGACCAAATGTGACGTTTGCATCATTATTACTATTGAAAGTGGTAGCTGTCAGCCAGCTGTGGCCGAACTCAGTGGCTTCTAGCCAGAATTCACTGGGGAGTGAGTTAAAATGCACATCTGTGGGGCCCTGAGCGGAGTGGGGGAGGGGTTTTAACGAGATCCCCGGGTATTTGAGAAACATGGTTCCAAGGGCTGTTAATTCATGTTAGTTGCCAAATAAGCAGGTAAACGCAAACTGCGAGTGTGGGTTCCGCCTAGGAGGGAAAATTGAGGGGCGCTTCCGGGAGGAAGGGGGTGCAGGCGGCTCACCTTGGCGGCCAGGACGTGCCACATCTCCTTGTCGACCCGAGCCGTGCGGTAGTAGAGGGCCTCCCCGCTCTCCACGCAGGGAGACCTGTCCAGGAGGCGGAAGCTGTGGCCTGGGCGGCAGGGGCCCGGGCGGCCCCCCAGGAACCGCGCGCGGAGCAGCGCGTGCGCGCTGCGTAGACCCTCCAGCTGGCGGGCCTCCAGCATGGCGTGCACGGCCTCCGGGCGCAGCAAGTCGTGGAAAGACAGGCCCAGCTCCGTGTCTGAGGAGCACAAGAGGAGCTCTGCGTGGAGACAGGCCGACCCCGCCTTGTCGTCACCTGCCTGGCTCTCATCCACACTGCGGGACCCCAGAAGGGGCCTCCGAGCCTGCCCTGCTGGAGTCGGGCTGGGCTTGGGGACCCTGTGGGCAGGCAGGGACCGGGCCCTGGTCAGGGTCTTGTTGGGCAGGGGTGGGGGCGAGACCAGCGGGTCGGTCGAGGAGGACCCGGATGTCCGCGGTCGGCAGGCCTTGGAGGGCAGCAGGTGGGCACGGACCTTACCTGTGGGACGGGGAGAGGACACGGAGCATGAGGCCCTGGACACAGACCGCACCCCTGGGCCCCATGCCCCATCTCCGAAATGGAAATAAAACCAGCACCCATCTGCCCTGTGCCCTGTGGGGCAGGGACGCCACCCCGTGCACAGACGAGGGGCCGGGCTCAGAGCAGTGACAGTCAGCGGCGGTCGGGCGTCAGGTGGCCGCTTCCCTGCGTGGCTCTGGGCAGCCGACCGCACCTCCCTCAACTCCCTTTTCCTCATCTTTACAAGCTGGTGAGCTCGGCCTCTTTTTCTGTCTTTTCTTTAACAGAGATGGGAGAAAAGCTAATCGAGCCAATGGCCAGAGAGACTCCGCCCCCTTGCTCTGGCCACCCTGGGGGGTGGGGTCTGGCCACCGCCTCCCAGCCCGCGCCCCTCGGTGGCTCACCAAGGTTGCTGTAGGTGGGCTGCGTCGGCCAGGTGGGGGTGCTGGGTCCGGGGGTCGCAGTGGGTGGCTCTGGACTGTTCATGCTGCTGAGCCCGGGCGTGCGTGCGGGGCGTGTGCGGGGTCTCCGCGGCGGCGGGGGGCGTGGTGCCGGGCCCTGGGCGAGAGCAGGGCCGTCTGCGCACCTTGTCTTCTTGCCCAGCCCCGACCCCGCTGTGTGGCCCTGGGAGCGTTTCTCTCCCTCTCTGGGCTCTTTTCCTCATCCGTGAGGCTGGAGTGTCACCCATCAACCTTTCCGGGAGCTGGGAACGACCCTGTACTTTCATGGCGTGGATGGACTGTCCAGCAGTGAGGACAAGCCACCTGGAGGACGGCTGGGGACTGCTGACAAGACTCAGGGACCTGAGCTCGGGCCTCGTCGCCTCAAGCCAGTGGCAGCCCAGCCCCCCCCCGCTCTGCCCCACCTAGAGTCCGGGTCACCCCGACCTGGGCAAGTGGCCGCTTCTGCCCTCTCCCTGCCCCAGCACCCCTCCAGGAGCCCCTCACCTTCAGGACGGGTGTGACCGCAGGGCAGAGGGCCTTGGGGACAGACTCCTGATGGCTGCAGCCCCTGGGCTGTCTGACCTGTCACTGGAGGAGAGCCGGAAACGCCTGTGCAACAGCCAGACCGCAGGCCGGGCCAGGGCTGAGGCCCTCCTGCACCACCTCCCCGGGGACAGGCCCGCGGATCAGAGGTGGGGGCAGTATTCCAGGCCGGAGTGGCAGCCTGGGTGGACGCCGGGAGGTGGCACCCGGAAGCAAACAGTCCAGGGCTGAGAGCCCGTCGGGGACCGGTGGCGAAGACGCTGAGGTTTCGCCGGTCACTGCACAGGGCGAGCAGCCCCGGGGAGCCTGGGGAGGTCAGGGGAGCCGGATGCGTGAGGTCGGCCACCTTTGGGGAGGGCAGGGAACCCCAGTGACGACTGTTCGGGAAGAAACGCAAGCAGGGCTGTGTCCTCTGTGGCTTTGACTTCCTGGAGAACCACTTCCCCTTCTGTGGGACCTTCCGAGAAGCCCCCGCCCATCCCGGGACCCTCGACCCAACCCTGGGCGCCCCGTGCTCTGGGCGGTGGCACTGCAGTCAGCTCGGCCCTGTTCTGACTTGCCATGTGCCCCGGGCAAACCCACCTCTCTTTCTGTGTTCAGTGAAGAAAAGTGCCCCCCAGTCTTCACAGCCACACTAGCTGGTCTGCCTTTAAAAAATGGAATGATCTCACTTCCTACCCCTTCGCCACCCGGGGTCTCCCCTCCTCTGGCCCTGTACCCCAAGAATAAGACAGGATTCAGGAAGCCTGGATCTTGACCTGGTTTGAACTGGGCCTCAGGCAGCCACTGAAGATGGGGAAGCTCAGGGATGAGGCAATCATTTTGCCTTCCTTTGCTGCAGGAAGAAATGAGCCCCCCCCACTCCACCCTCCAGCTTCTTTGAAATCAGGCACGGAGGGGTCACCCCACAGCCCCCGACACGCCCCTCTCCTGCTCCTGTCCTCTGCAGGGCAGAGACCGGAACTTCCCGTGTTCGCATGGGGAAGCAGGTGTCAGTAACAGGCTGCCCTTGGCCATGGCTTCTGCTGACGGTTCCTTCCGGAGAGAGCACAGGCCTTCAGGGGCCAGCGGGTTTGAGCCCTGACACTGGACTCTGTGCCTCAGTTTCCTCACCTATCCAGTGGGGGTCGAAGTGAGGATGATGTACTTATTAATAATATATCCGGCGTTCGGGGCTGGCTGCCTTTCTCCAGAGCCCCCAGAGGCAGAGAAGCTGATGGGCCCCCCTTAGAAAAGGAGACCTCCCAGCTCAGGCACGGTGGGGAGGGGGTGGGCCTGGGCCTCCTGCCTCCTGTCTTCCCTACCGCTTGCCCTGCCCCCCGGCCCAAGCTTGCGGCAGGGGTCCCCCGACCTCCCGGTTCCACCTGCCTCCCCCTAGCTGAGCAAATGCTCTCCGGCCTCCGACCCTCCCTTTGTCCATCTATACAGTGGGGTCATAGCAGGACCCAGCTCACGGGGCTGTCATCGGCGTGAAAGCGCCCCTGAAGTGTGACCTCTAACCTTTCGCTACAGCTTGGCTGGATCCAGGCAGCTCCCCCTGGGACCCCAACAGCCCCTTATCCCTCGTTCTTGCTTTCTGCCCCTACTCCTCCCATGAGAAGAAAAAACAAAACCTGAGGTGTGTTATTAAACTCGTTTCATTTTTATTGGATTCCAACCAAATACAGCAGGATGGGGCGGGAAGCCGGGGGGTCTCAGTTCATGTCGGGACGGGGGGGTGGGCAGAGGGGGCTGGGAGGTTTCGCTATGTGACTTTCTGTAAACCCTAAGCTGCAGAGAACTACCCCCTCTGTCTCGATGATGCTAAAGGCACTTGGATGTCGTTTTGAAAGGCCCTCGGGGTTGTCATGGCAACCAAGGTCAGGAGGATGCTAAGCGAACAAAACTAGTGGATTGTGCCCAACTTGGGTGGAGTGTGGGCCTGCTGGATACCCGCCTTCGGCCCTCACATCTGTCCACGAATGGGGTTGTGACAGGGTCCCCATCTTGGCTGGCTGTGGTCAACAGCCTGTCACCCAGCCCTCCTGGCCAGTGTGCACGTCGTGGGGGCAGGACCAGGGCCTCCAGTGCTCCCAGCCACAGCCCTGGGAGAATGGGTGGTGTCCCCTTCCGAGGTTTGTCTGAATCCTTTGCTCAAAACCTCCAGGGCCGACCCATCTTTCTCACTGGCTCGTGGTGGGGGATCCAGGATCCAGGTCCACCATCCAGCCCATCCACATAGAGTGATGGGTTTGACCCTCAGGCCCACTTTACAGACGAGGACACTGATGGTCCAGGTGGCCCTCAGTCACCAGCCAAGACTGCACAGCTGGGCGAGAGCAGAGGTGGCTTTCAGCCTTCCTACAAGGTCCTTGAGAATACTGTCCTAATCTGGTTAGTGGCCCAGCTCCGCTCCAGCTGGGGTCACGGCCCGCAACGTGACCTACGCCTCTTCCCCTAACCGTTATTTGGCCGAGGTAGAGAGTGGGGGCAAGAACCAGGCTGGAGGAGGCAGGAGCATGGACGGTCCCCGTCTGGTGTCTGAATACTTCTGCGGAAGTATTCTGCTTGCTTACACCCAGAGACGGAGAACTCAATACCTGAAGAGCCACAGGTAGCGACTTTGGGGAAGCTCTTCCTTAACCTCGTTTACAATTTGCCTGTGACCCCCCCCCCCCCAACTCTTTGGACCTATACTCGTCTCAAAGCTGCAGAGACCAACGTGCCTCTGTCACCTCCCCAGGGCCCAGATCCAGGCCTCCCTGTAGCTTGGACCCCGTCCTGGTCTTGCTGTCCCGTAGGGCGCACAGACGAGCCCTGAGGGCTGCCTGCTGCTGGCTTCACTTCCCGGGCGAGCGAGGAGACACGATGCTGGCTCGGGGTGGTGCAGACTCGAGAGGGACACCCCAGGGCGGCTGCCCCTCCTGTGTGGAGAGGGCTAGAGATGCAAGTGGCAACTGTCAGGGTGGCGGAGGAACCTGGGGAGGCGGCTTCTCCTCATGGCAGCCCGGCCTGCTGGGCCACTGGGTCCTGGTGGGCGGGCGTCTGGGAGTGGGGCCAGCATGTCTGGGACCTCGGGGTGAGCTGACCTTAGCTCAGCCCACAAGGTCCCCTGCAGGCAGCCAGCTGAGCGGGGAGCTGGGTGTGGCCCACGGGCAAGCTGGGCGTGTTCCGAATCTGAGCTGCTCCGTGCCAGGTGTGAGCTGTGCTGTCGTGAGGGCGCTGCGTGCCTGTGCTAAGCTCTGGAGCCCGGGGCACCTGCTTGGTGTCAGCTGGGCGTCAGGCGTGTGCGTTCCACTTTGGAGCTGTGCATCCGGGTGTGTCCTGGGTGTGAATACGCATCCGCTGGGTGTCAGGTGCGAGTGTCCGGCTGTGAACAGCACAGGCTTTCGTGCGCCCCCCTCGGGGCTGGGCTGCCCTCTGCGTGTGTGTCTCCCCCAGGGTGTGGGCTGTTGGGGCCCTGAGGGCAGCAGCCCTGTGCCTCCTGGGTGTGAACCGTCAGCTGTGGGGACGCTGGGGTCTCCGAGGCCCCATCCCACCCCCAGGAAGCTCAGTGACCACTCGGGGCCGGGAAGAGGAGGGGTAACCTTTAGAAAACTCTTGAGGAACTCTGCAAAAGATGCATCCTGATGAAAAAAAATCAGTCCTGTGGGTGGGTGTCTACAAAACGGAAGTTCTGCCAGGGGCCAGCCTGGGGCCGCCCCTCTGGAAAATGCATAGGTGTCACTGGACGGGCCAGCGAAGCTCTGGTGGGGACAGAGACCGTCTCTCCCTCTCTGCCAGCAGCCCCAGCAGGGGAGGGCAGGGTAGGTGGTGGTCGACCCGGAGCCCTTAAATCATCTTCATGTTGAACTTGCGGGCTCCGCCCTGGCCGGCGGCGGTGGCGGGCCCGTCCACCTTGCGGAACGAGTACTCCACGGAGAAGTTGTTCTTGTGCTGCCCGCGGCCGCGGCTCCACACGAAGAGCAGCAGGAAGCAGAAGAGGACGACGCCCAGGAAGGTGATGCAGCCCATGGCCGTGGACACGAGGATGGTGGTGAGGTCCAGCGGGAAGCGCGCGGCCGCCAGCGTCTCGTTGCGGCCCTCGCCCGGGGTCCGGTTGGCGGCCGGCTCGGGCTGCACGGTCAGCGTGGCG